CCGGCAGCTGGTCCTGGGAAAGAGCTGGTGCAGGGATGCAGCCTTCTCCTGCATCCCCCCATCCCCTCAGGGACCCCCGACTCGCATGGCAGCCAGGGCAGGGGTGACGTTCACCGTTGCCCTGCACCCACGTGGCTTGTGCCCAATGCCCACATGCCACCGCCGGCGTCAGCCCAGGATCTCCGCCTGACAAGCAATTAAATCACGTGGAGTTCAGCTGTACTTTAAAATAAGCTTTATTTAGATCTTTTATATTTTTATATTTGCATCCATGCCTTCAAGGATTCTCCCCCACTCATGTGGAGAAAAGTTAAATCTAATGTTACCCATAATTCATATGCTATTTATCGAAGTTCTCTTTTAAATAAATCATCCTCTTAGTAATTTTTAGAATTATTTCCTAATTTACAAAAAAGCTGAAATGCAAAGGAAACTACTCGATAACCAGGAGATCGCTCGTCTGTTCCGGTGGTTTATAGTTTAAATTATAAAAACGCAAAGAGAACAAAAAAAACAAAACAAAACCCCCCCAAACCAAAAAAAAAACAACCAAAAACAGTATCAAAACGCTTCTCTGCAGAGAAAGATGCCATGGGGCAAATCCTGCCCCACCACCCCAGGCCCTCCCCTCAGCAGAGCCCAGGGGGGCTGGTCCCCCCCGCCTCCCCCATGGCCTCTCCGCATCATCCCGTTAGCAGGAATACACAGCGCGAGGGCATCGGCGGTTTAGTTCAGCGATTTAAGACAAAATACCCCTTTTTTTCAACCAGGGCGCGCGTATCGGAATTAAGAAAAATAATACACTATTATAGCATCATTAAATAAATCTTAATACACTTTTTTTTTTAAAGAGCTTAAAATTATATCGTAAGCATTAAAGCATAAGGTACTTATCTTGGCATAAGCAGAGCGCGGTGCGTGTTAGTGGGGAGGGGAAGCGGCTGCCGCGCCGGAGGGTGCTTTTGGGCCATTTCCAGGGGATTTGGAAGCACAAGCTCCACCTGCGCTTAAAAATCACCCCGGCACCAGAAAACCCTCCCCAGCGGGGACTCGTACCGATTTCCCCGGCCCCCTCCCCTGACGGCAACGACACCCCAAACAGGATCGGGGCGGCCGGCCCCGGCCAGGCGACGTCTCGGGACACAGGGATATCTCGGGATATCGTCTTTCCCCTCCTCCCAGCTCATGCCGGATCCCCCAATTTTTACTCGAAGCAAAGGGCGAGCCCCCCAAAGGCAGGGAAAACCAGCAGGTCAAGCTCCCACCAGCTTCCCGACCCCGTCTGATTGCCTGGCATGTATTTAGGTTTGTCTTTTCCAAGGCGTTAAGTGCTCCTGGGGCATCTGCAGCCGTGGGGGGGGGGGTCCGCAGCTCCGGCACCCCCCCTGCCCCAGCAGCAGCTTCCCAGGACAGTACAGTACAAACACACCCTTCCTCCTCCCCGCCCCATCCCAACTGACGTGGAAAAATATAAAAATCCCAAAACTTCTGCAATAATTTAGTTAGAATAGCTCCTCTGGGTTTGTGCAAATAAATTAAAACAACTAAAAAGGAACGTTAAAACACTTATTTCCAGCCCGGCAGGCGTTACAACCAGCCCGTGTCGCCTCCGCGGGGTTCGGCCAGGAAGACATCACAGCGAATGAACATTTTCCTCTTTTTTTTTTTTTTTTTTTGTTTTTCTTTTTTTTGTGTGTGTGTGTGTTTTCTCTCTAAGGTCCCTCAGCTGGGCAGGTCCTTCGTCCCCAAGCGAGGACATCCCGCGGGCTGGGCTCCAGAAAACAGCGGGTTTCGGACAAGAGACGTCACAAGCACAAAGTGCACAATATTTCTGGTATTTACAGAGACACAGCAGTCCTTCAAGTTTCAAGTTTCGTCAAAAAGGAGGAGGAAATAAAAAAAAAAACCAACAAAAACCAACCCAAACCGACAAACTGAAGCGACAACAAAGGAGTTACCGGTATGGGGGAAAAAAAAACAAAAAACAAAACAACACAAAAAAAGGGAAAAAACTGAAGTTACGACACAGCTGCATCGCTCCCAAGACAACAGGTAACACGTCCACAGGCGGGGCTGGGGTGGGGGTATGTACATCGGTGACGGCGAGGCCGGGGAGAGGCTCCCGGCGCTCGCCTGGCACGGGGGGGTCACCAGTCCGCGTCCTCCTCGATGTAGTAGTCGGGGGCCGTACCGTCGAAGAGGCCGGGGTCGAGGGACTTGCGCTGCTTCCCCCGGGCGAACACCCTGGAGATGGAGCCGAAGCCCATCTTCTCTTTCTTCTTTTTCCGTTTTTGGTCTTCCAGGTCCTCTAGAGACTGCGGCGGGGAGAGAGGACAGGAGTTTGGCCAACGAACTTTTCACTCGCCCCCACCCACTTGCCTCAAGGATGATGGACCGCAAGGTCCAGGTCCCAAAAAATAGTTGGGTTCAGGGTCAAAGCAACGCTAAGGTCCTGGACCAAAAAAAAAAATAATTTATTCCTGAAATACGTGTGGTAGAATCGCAAGGTCCAGGTCCCAAAAAATAGTTGGGTCCAGGGTCAAAGCAACGCTAAGATCCTGGACCAAAAAAAAAAAAAATTTATTCCTGAAATACGTGTGGTAGAACTGGCAGCAAAATTGGGCCCCCTCCCCTCATTTCTGGGATTTTGGCTTCTTATTTCAACTGGCTCAGGATTGCAGCTCCAGGAATGCAAGGTCAGAGCAAGGGTCTGTCCACAGCTTGCAAAAATGCCCTGACGTTTTGGAGTCAAATACAGAAGAATAACCTGATCTAGGCTGTGCCTTACAAACACCGGGACCGCGATGGGCCTCGAGCACAGCAACCGCCTATGGCGCTACCTGGATTTTGGGGCAAAGCACGGAAATCTGAGACATCTCAGACTTAAAATTCAGGACGGCTTCTGCTCTGTGGGTTTTTTTGTTTGGTCGGGGTTTTTGTTGTTGTTTGAGGGTTGTTTTTTTTTTTTACAAACCCAAATCGGTGCCTCTGAGCTCCCCCCCAAAGTCCTCGCTAGCGCAGGACCAGGTCTCACGAGCGAGATTTCAAGAGGGCTTTATGCCCTACCTGTACGATTGGGTTGTGCAAGTTCTTCTGTACCGGTCCAGGACTGTCCCCCTGCAGCAAAAGGCAACAGATCCAATTGAATCAGCCCGGGACCCCCCATCTCCACAGCAAAAAGCAGCTTGTTCTGGCAGCCGAGTGGCTCTGGCGCTGGGATAAACCCCCAAGAAAGCAGCTCTCCACGCCAGCAAACCTCCAACCCCTACCCCACCCCAAAACCAACCTCATTTTGGGAAGCAGAGGACCCGCAGCATCCTGAGCCCCTCTCCCCAGCAAGACCCACCCAGCGGGGAAGCAAGCCCCGCCATCATGTAGTGCCTTACGTTGCAGAGCGAGTGCGTTCGATGCCGGGGCGAGTTGATGTCGCTCGGCGTGGACGACCGGTCGCCCTCGGCCGCGGAGGCGTCGGAGATGATGGACGGCTGCCGGGAATGACAGGGACTCACTCTGACCGCTGGAAGGCAGAGGGGGGGCACCGGGGAGTTAACATCACGCCAGCAAACCTGACCCCACGCAAAGCCTCTGGTGCGCTTCCGAAAAACCTATTTTTGGGGTGTTTGGCCCATTTTTTTGTCCCCCTCTAGCAGGGAATAAGGCAGCTCCCCAAAACGGGTTGGGCCCCACACCCTGGGAACATGCCCATGCCCCAGTCTGTGGGTGGGGGGGCGGAGGGGGGGCTCACCTTGCCGGTCCGC